ACTTTGCTCTTACTACTATTTGTCCAGCAGGTTAGGCACAGATCCAGCATCCCTTTATACTAGTTATTCAAACTCTGACCACACTAACTCATCAATCTCATTGCTGGGTATGCCAACACTGAGACCATCCATGCAAAAGAACCTGAACTCATTTTTGTTTCTGCCATTGTGAGGGCCTGGTGGAACCAGTCCAGAAGAGGGATATATGACAAGATGTGGTGTCCACAACCAGAGAAGAAACATCATACTGCTTCTCCTGTTGGTGAATCAACGGAACATAGATAAACCTCTGTGGGAGCTCAAGAACTATTTTTTTCCTCAGGTAAAGTCATTAGAAAGGAATTTTTCCTTCTGCATTGCAAACTGGGATGATGCTGGGTCTTTTCTGGGTAAAACAACATTGTGATCAAACCCTGTGGTTTAATTCCACAGATGGAATTCTTGCATCTCTTACTGTTAGGTGAAGTTCTTTCTCTTGGGGAGAGAAGGACGGCTTGGCTGCAGGTGCAAGCTTGCTCCTAGAATTGTATGAGAAAGCAAGAAACAACTACAGACTCTTAGATGGCATGTAGCAAAATGTCTTTATTTTCACTCCCTTTTATTGGGAGCTAGTCACATACACCACATTGATCAATAATCCTAACATCCTCAATTGTTATCTTAAACTATAGAAAAGCAAGAAAGACCGGGAAAGTGAGATAACCATCATAAGATTAGCCTAAAGAAAGTCTGGGAAAGTAAGACATCATCTTAAGCTAGCCTCAGGCTGTTCCTCTCTGAAGACCTAAAAGAACTATACATTATCTGACTTCTATTGTTAAAGTTAAAGGACAGGATAAACAGAGGAGTAAAATCTTTTTCTTCTATGTACTCAATTAAATTTCCGAGAAACAGGCTCCATGACTGTTTTCTTATGGTTTGGAGACCCCGCAGTTACGATGAAGTGTTTTACTCACATCATTACGATGGAGTTTTTCTTTTCACTCACATCAACCTTTGAGTCATGTCCTCTGCACAGATGGGCTGTTTCAACCCTTATCTGGCAGGCTGACTTGACTGCACAGTCGGGGTTCCCTATAGGAGGTTGTTAGACCCGGCCAGCTGGGCTCCCACTGTGTTTTCCCAGGTTGCTTTGGTCTTGACAAAAGTGCATAATATTCACAAGTCTTTTCCCTCAGTTTCTGGAATTAAAAGAGCACATTTCATTAAATTTTTGTGGGAGTTTACCCCACAACTTACATGGTGCCGACACTACCCTTATGATGTGAAAGACTGTCAAATCACCAGATGTTATGAATGGCTTGCAAGCCAGGCTTTGCAACTTGGGATAGCTCACCTGCTCCTCTTGTTAAGTTGCCAAACACCAAAGATTATATGTGGACAGGACTTACGTGTGGACTGACTCAGTTAAGTGACAAGAACAAGCTCAGAACTGCTAGAACTGAATGAAAGGCCTTCAATATCAAATATTTCATAACCAGGTCTATTCCCATAGACCAGTGCTTTTGACCTTTTTTATTGCATGGCACACTTGAACCGATAGTTAAACTTCTGTGGCACACTTAAGTTATGTTGATCAAAAAAAATTAAAGAAAGAATATACTTACTGTGCTTTGAACTTCTTTCAGAAATAATTTAATTAATGATCTTTAAACATTTTCATAGCACATCTAAGGTTCTCTCAAGGTACATCAGTATGCTGCAGCATGGGGATTGAAAGTCGCTGTTATAGACTAATGGACACATGGACACTGGAGCTGTGTAAGGGCCAATAAGGAAGAAGAACTGCAAACTCCAGACTGGGAGGTCTCAGGTTCCAACCTGACCCCATCTGTAAGTTATACTATAATTTTTGTGCAGTGATAGAGTGTACAAGTGGTTCCATCCTATATAGTTAGGATTTTATGAATTTGATTGTTCAGCATACTCTGTTACTCCACTTTAAATGCTAGCCAAATTACAAACTTGGCCTCTTTAATTCATAAAGTGGTAAATATACTAGATAAGATATTATTAAAATGTCCACTTGTATCTCACAATTTGAAGTTTCTTTGACGCTCAAGACATCCCACATTTTGAATGCATGAAATTGAACAGACAGTTTTGAATCTCTGCATGGTAATAGAACAAGAACTCAATATTCATATGCAAGCTTTGGGAGCACTTTGGTTAGCAGTCAGTAACAGCCTAGCCTCTGTTGTATTTGAAAACTGCTAGGTCCTGGAAGCGCTGACAGCCCCAAAGGGAAGAGCTTATGTGATTCCTTTTACTCCTTCCTATTATCTCAATACATTTCAGAAGTGAAGGTCAAAAATGGAAGCAGACATGGTTCAAATGATGTAAGTCAGGAATACTTGTCTTCCAAGTTAATTTACAAGTCAATCCATTTCTTTCCCATCCACTTATCCTCCCTATTAACCCTATACTCCTTAATTTCGGCCCTCCCCTCTAAAAGGCCTGTATAAAGATGTCTGAACTCCATTGGATAATTAGTTATCACTCTGTGATTTCTCCCTGTGTGCACAGTGGTAAATAAATCCTTTCTCTGATTATTCTGCATTAGTTGTGAGTTGATCTCTTAGTGAATTTCAGGGGATTTTGTTTTCATTTCTTGGCCAGAAACCACTATATTCTGAAAGTCTTGAGACAACATGGCAAGAAATGGAGTTAATCACACATACCACAATGGCAGAGAAAGGAAAAGAGAGTTCTTTATCTTTTCACCGTTCCCAGGACCCAGGAAATGCTTCTTTGCCCCTAACAAGTTTCTTTCTGTTTCAGTTTGAGGAATGTCCACTGGACAGTGAAGCCTAGTTTTACCCTTTGGAGAATCTCAGTCCATTCACCTATTACGGTCCAAACTAGAATCTGAGTTTACTTTCTGATATTATTTGAAAAAAAAAAGAAATTCCAAATTTTTGAGCTTGCAAAGTTAAGTTCATCTTTGTTTCCAAGGTGATCACATTTCATGAGGCCCAACTAAAAATGAGTATCATTCACTTGTAAAAGAAAGGTCTTTCAGAGAGAAAAATCTCACTAAATATTAGTTCCTAGAATCTAAGCCAAACAACTATGTCTAGAACTTAAAGTGAGATCAACCATTTGTAACTATAACCTTTGCTCTATAAACAGAAATATCTCTCACTGTCAAACTGGATTTCATTGGCAAGGCTGACAAAGGCTTAAATAACACCAGAGGCTTTGCAGAGGTATAATCATAAATATCTTTCTTGTGAAATAATTTTTCTTAATGTAGTACGCCCTGCTCTATTACTGTTGCTACAGAAGACAACAGGAGTACTATTTTAAAAAGGAATGGAAAAATAAAACAAAAAGTAATCAAAAGGTTAATGCTGTTATTTTGCACCAAACATATTAGCATTATTATTACAAAATTATTATTATAATTTTTTTTCTCCTTTACGTGAGGAAGAAAAAAAACAAGATGCTACCAAGAGTTTGTCATGGGTAGCAACTGTTTTAGGTTATCTCCATGGTGAAGAAGGGGTCCCTTCAGGCAGCCAGTGGATGGACGCCTGAAGATTTTATTTCAGTTCATAATTCCCAACACCCATTCCCAGGGGCAGGAAGTTTAGACAGGCTCATCTTATACCTTCATTTCCAAAGACACTCCCCACATCTGCCCACATGGCAGTACTAAATTGCCTGGCTCATATTATAGAAAGGTGGAATTTACCTAAGCTATTAAATCCTGTTTGAATTTTACAAAGCTCATAGGTCAACTTTAGGTCCACCATTTCAAAGGAAAGGATAGTGTGAATCTTCAAAGAAGAAATGATTTGGATTTGAAAGAGCTAAGGAAATCTTACCCTGGTATAAAGAATATCTTGAATTAAAAGTCATTCAAGATCCAGAAATGATATCTGCATAAACTGGCCTGGCCCTGATCAGAGGATCAAAGTGGTCAATTCACTACCCATACCCCTTTGCTATTATCTCAAAGTATTTCAGGAATGAGTGAAAGGTTACCGAGCCAAAGATGAAAGATTATTCTGAGGCACGAGTGGACAGAAAAATGGAGGCTTGGTTTGTGCAATTCAAATGGTTTTATTCTACCTGGGTGCAGGTGGGGTAAGATTTCCAAGAAATCCACACGGGTAAGGGTGAAGGGGGGTTAAGGTCAGGAAGTTGGGGGTTGTGACTTTCTCCTTCCTGGGTTGGACATCTGTTATAAGGCTGGGGGTTGGCCCATTTACCTTTCCCAGGTAGGACATCTGGTGGGGTGGGTTAGGGGTTTGACCCATTTACCTTTCTTAGGTGGGACATCAGTGGGAGAAGATAGGGGGTTGATTCTTTTAAGCGAGTCCACCGTATTTGGGTGGAGTTTGACCCTATCAGAGATGGGTTCTGATTTCTGAGCTCACCTGGGCCTAGGATTGGGGGGGGGGGGTCCCTGTCCAGCTCTGAGTGAGGGAACCCTGTATCAAATACACCTGAACTCCTTAGGAAAACTGGTTATCACTGTGATTTACCCCTGTGTCCAGGGTAAATTAATCTGCCTTAACTGTGAGTTTATCCTTCAGCAAACTTTTGGGTGAAAGGGCAAGTTTTCCCTGTCACTGCAGGTTTCATTTCTCACCAGGGTAAAGGTCCCTGACGTGCCCTCTCGCCTAGATTCTAGTCCCGCCCCACGTGCCGCCTATCAGCTGTCCCTCGGCGCCTCCCGGGCCTTCCCCCTGGCTCCTTCTCCGCACCGCTGTCAGCATCAGCAGCTGTAGGGGAGGAGCCATGTTTGAACTCTGAGGACCAGAAGGCAACAGACTTTTCCAGGCACTGCGCAGACCGCAGATAGAGCTCTCCCGAAGTCGCGCGGAGGGCGCGGGTTAGGTTGACCCGGCGAGGTGGAGCAACCCGCTCCAAGCACCTCCCACCCGCCCTGCTCCTCCCTCCGCGCCCGGCACTTCGGAAGCCCCGCCCCTCCCTGGCCCCGCCCCCGTGCTCCTGGCGGGCGGAGCCTCGCTGTGTAGATGCTGCCGGTCGGCCCCGGGCAGCCGAAGCCGATCCGGTATCCAGGATGGCAGCGGGCCTCAGGCGGAGCTGCGGGGTGAGAGGAGACCAGGGCTGCGGTGGGGCTGGGATCGGGGCAGGGTCGCGGCGCTCGGGCCGGAGGGCAAGGGTAGAAAATAGGTGCGGCCCGCCGGGGAGGAAGCCGTGTTGAGCGAGGAGCCCGCCTTTTCTCGCACCGCGATGCCGGCGAAGTCTCAAGACTTGCTTTGCTTGTCACGCCTGTGCCCCCGCTCCCACCCATGGACTTTCCGGGCCCCGTGTCCTTGCGGCGGCTGACCCCGGTGTGCCAGCGCCCTCCCTTCCGAATATCCGTCCTCTGGCCCGGGCACTCCCGAAATACTTCCTCCAGGAGCCCCACTTTTTCGGTCTCTGAATAGGAGGTGTCTCGGAACCACGGGAAAGGGAAAACGGAGCGGCTGCTCCTGGGGATACTTAATACGTTTAATGCGATTTGGTTTGGTATGGAGGAGATCGCCTACGCTGCGTACGATTCAAAAGTAAAAGAAGTTCCCGTGAAGCTTGTCTGTGTATTCTGGTACTGTGTCTTGCAGATTCTAAATAGGTTTGCCAGTAGGTGCGTTTCAGTATCTTAAATATTCTTTATGTTCACATAAGACTGCCGTTCCCTTGCCACTTAAAATTGAATTATAGGTGATTGTCTTTGACCAAAACAGTCTCTTGTTGTTGGTATATAAATTAGTGGGCGATGAATGCAGAGTTGAGGAGATTTTAATAATTATTTTTAACTGCAACTCCAGGAAAAAAGATTTCTGAATCTCTCCAGAGAAGGATCCATTAAAATCCTATTCATAAAATTTATATCCCTTTATCTTGTACACTCCCATAAAACTAAGACTCTCATGTTTCTGAGAAATGGGAAGTGTTTTGTACTTGATGCCGTTATTGCAGATCGATGCTTGAGTACTTTGCTACCTTTGGCTACTTTGTTCTGATCAGGTAATGTTTTGAAAGCCTAATGGTATATGTATACTCTTCTGTCTCTGAGCAAAGAGATTTTAATCATCCCAAAATACCTGGTGAGATTAGCCCCATTTCGGATTTTGAATAGTGGCTGTAAGAAGTTTGTATCCTGTCCAGTGTCACAGAGGTAGTTGTGGTACCTAGACTCAACTTCAAAATTGTTAACCCCAATCCTGTGCTTTTCTGTATTCACTCCCAAGCCACTTCTCTAACTAAATGGCTAACATTATTATGTAATCAACAGATTGGTGGGTATTGCCCCTGGGCTGTAGCAGGGATCAGTGCATTTTGTTTTATGTAACACGTATTGGGTGCTGTATTCCTGAAGAAGCACATGTAAACGTACTTTTTCTAAACTATTTTAAATCCACAATATAATTCCCTGTTTAAAGTCTTTCAGTAGACCATTTGGCCAGTTTAGTTAAATTCTGATTTAAGTCACTTTTTGTGGTCTGTTATTTGTGGAGTGTTTTTCTTTGTTATGGAATCTAGAGACCCTTTACCAGACTAATTGAAAGAATTAATTAAGTACCACAACTGCCTCTGTGACGCTGGACAGGATACATGGCTGGGTGGTTGATAGGTTGGGCTATTGATAGTAAATGCTAGAATCCTGGTTGCATTAAGAGCAGAGTGACCTTGGCTAATTTTACTTGACCTTTCCGAGCCTCAGTTTCTTCATATGCAAAAAAAGGAATAAAAATAGTGCTTTAATCCAAGACTGACTGGAGATTCAGTGAATTAACATGTGGATGTAAGCAAGAGGAGGTTTGGTTTCTGTCACCTGGAAGATGAGGACCAGGGAAACCATTTTCTACTTCTAAAATAAAATTAATGAAAATTGCAAAGAAAATGTGAGTTTTCGGCTCGGCGCCTGTGGTTCAATCGGCTAGGGCGCCAGCCACGTACACCTAGGGTGGCAGGTTCGAATCCCCAGCCCGGACCCGCCAAGCAACGATGACAGCTGCAACCAAAAAAAAAAAAAAAAAGAAAATGTGAGTTTTCATACTCTGTTTAATTATCTTTTCAAATTTGTAGTATGAGTTTTGCTATTTTGAGAGGGCTATTTAAATTAAAATGTTTGACAATCTAATTATATTGTCACCTTAAATATAGGAAAATCTCTTTACAAGTTGAAATTATCATCTACAAAGTGGACAGTTTCTTTTTACAGATTTTGAAAAACGTAAGTTAGGTTCTGGAAGCTTTTGTATATTCAGCTTCTCTTAGTATGGGACATAGTTCCGTCAAATTTCTTTAAAGTGTAAACTGTATATACTTTTGGCTGTCCTCAAACTCCACTTGGGAGCAACAGTGTGGTTTCCGGTTTGATAACTTCAGTAAATGCAAGTGGTTATTTTTGTGTCTGTTAAATTGTCATGCACATAAAAATTGTTGCAAAAAAATGGATTTGATTTGACTAAAGTACATTACTTAAACATTAATTTTTACTTCAACTTGTTAAGATGTTATTTAGGATACAGGATCCTGCATCCTCATTTAAAAGTGAATTATGTTTGTAATTTCTCCCTTATAATAATGTATTTTTTCCAATTTTAATATCAGGTGTATCCAGATTAAGCAGAATGATTTTGAAGTATTTCCTTCTGGATACATGCCCCGTAATGGGATTGCAGGATCAAACGGGAGGTCTAGGTTGAGTTCTTTGAGGTTTCTCCATACTTCGTTCCAAAAAGGTTGTATTAGTTTGCAGTCCCACCAGCAGTGTAAAAGTGTTCCTTTCTCTCCACATCTACGCCAATATCTGAAGTTTTGAGATTCTGTGATATAGGCCATTCTTGCTGCAGTTAGATGGTATCTCAGGGTGGTTTTAATTAATTTGCATTTCTCTAATAATTAGGGATGATGAGCATTTTTTTCATGTATTTGACAGCCATTTGTCTTCTTTAGAGAAGGTTCTTTTCATCTCTCTTCCCCATTGATGTATGGGATTGTTGGTTTTTTTCTTGTGGATTAAGTTCTGTAGAGATCCTAGTTATTAAGTTTTTCTGATTCAAAATATGCAAATAGCCTTTCCTATTGGGTAGGTTGTCTATTTGCTTTGGCTGTTGTCTCCTTGGCTATACAGAAGCTCTTCAATTTAATTAAATCCCATTTGTTTATTGTTGCGGTTGTTGCTCTTGCCATGGCAGTCTTCTTCATAAAGTCTATTCTTCTTAAAGTCCCCTATTGAATAAATGGTGCTGGGAGAATTGGATATCCACGTGTAAAAAACTCAAACTGGATCCGCACCTCTCTCTACTCACTAAAATTGATTCAAGATGGATAATGGACTTAAATTTAAGGCATGAAATGATAAAAATCCTCAAAGAAAGAATAGGGAAAACACTGGAAGATATTGGTCTGGGGAAAGACTTTATGAAGTATTTCTTCTTTTTCTATTATCTAAAAGGTTTGGCATGATCTGTTTTTTGAAATTATTTTAAATTTTATTTATAAATATTAGTTGTCTATTTTTTGAGACTTTGGGAAAAAAATAAGAAGAAGTTAATTGATGACTCCATACTGAACCTCAGAGTCAAAGCATTCTGTAATAGACATACTCTTATTTGACAATGTGAATGTTACTTTCTTTGCATTAATATTATTATTGCCTAATACTTTGTTGCAGCAATCGTCTGATTTCTTTTCTGAATGTATTTATCTTCATTCCTTCTTTATGAGGTTTTTGTTTCTAGTCCTGAACTTAAACATTGTTACTGTTGTTAAATTTTAAGCCTTTTTAATTTTGTGAAGGCAAAAAATGGAAATCTAATAACCACGTTTATGTAAAAATTAAAAAAAAATAAAAATGATTGTAAAGGAACAGAATGTTCGGATTATACAGTTGTGGTGTATCCTTTTGAAGAAATGTGAGTATGCTTCAGATAATAAGACAGGTAGTATATTTTTATAGTTTAGAACAAGGCTGGCAAACTTTTTTTATGAAGAGACCAATAGTAGATATTTTTGGCCTTGGGGACCATATACTCTGTGTGGCAACTGTGTAGAACTCTTGTGAAAGAAATTAGACAATGTGGTGTGGCTGTGTTTCAATGAAATGTTATTTACAAAACTAGCGGCTGCTGTAGTTTGCTGACCTTGGCTGACTTAGCACATTGTGTAAGACTGCTTCTAGATAATGGCAGAAAATGAAGCATGAGGTTTTATGCCAATTTGTTTTGTTGATAGAGTGGAGTACCTTAGAAAGTAGAATCCTCCAATGGGAAAGTTCCCAGAGGCGTATGTGGGAGGCCCATAGGGACAGCTGGCCCATAGGGACAGCTGGCAAAGTGTGGACTGCCACAGTTCAACAAAGTAGGTACAGGTCCATCCTGTTCCCCGCCTACCACCGATCATCAGTGTCCTCGGAGCCCGTAGGTGAGATTCCAAAATAGTGGTCCTAAGTTGTCGTCTACCACTGACTGTTTGTCCTGGAAACTTTGCACTGCAGATGCCACTGATTCTATTTCTTTACTGTCTAGAAAACATCTCCTCTATGGAAGGTGTTAAAATAACTGGTAGTTGGCTTATTTAAACTAAATTATATTTGAAGGTACTTAAGCAATGATGACTTGTGAAACTCTGCTTATGAGTCTGGCCAGACAAGTTGCTGTGCTCATGTGCAGCTGTCAATCATATCTTAATAAAAGTGTTCTTTACAGGTCCTGAGAAGTATTTCCCATTTTGGCTGGAGATCACAACATACAAAAGCTGTCCCAAAACATGAACCAGGATTAGGATATAGTTTTGGTATGTGTTATGTTTTCTTTTGACTTTAAACTTGTATTTGTTGTACATACGAAGCTCTATATTTGTGTTTGGAGTAAGTTTGTAAACAAACTTAATAATGTCTGTCAAAGAAAAGAACAGGTCACCATGCGCAGAATGTTCCTGGTTAGTCATGCCCATTTTCCTGATCTTATTCTCTTTTTCCACATACTGTTGTAGACACTAGATTTGTGTCAGCAGCTTACATACATTTCTGTTCCTTCCCTTTTGGGCTAAGGCTGTAGTCCACAATACATGACAGATTTATTGATATATGTGAATAGTCTTCAACTTTCAAATTTGAATCAAGAAATACTTCTTAAAACATGTATTAGGCCAGACATGACTTAACTTGGGAGGCCGAGGCCAAGCTGGTGTATTACATGAGCTCACAGGTTTTAGACCAGCCTGAGCCAGAGCCAGAGATCTTGTCTCTTAAAAAAAAAGAAAAAAAAAATAGCCGATCATTGTGGTGGGTGCCTCTAGTCCTAGCTACTTGGGACACTGAGGTAAGAAAATCGCTTAAGTTCATTAGTTTGAGGTTATTGTGAGCTGTGATGGCACAGCAATCTACCAAGGGTGACAAAGTGAGACTCTGTCTCAAAAAACAAAACAAACAAACAAAAAAACATTTATTAGCTACACAGTGCTAGGTGCCTGGTAATAAGCTAAAGCTTGTTTTGGCCATAATAATCTTTCACTGCAGTTTTGGTGTTGTTAATATAAGTTCTCAGTCCTGGGACCAGGATGCCATGTGGTGTTGAAGGGAAAAGGAGTAAGATTTTCTTTTCCTTTCCTCTATAAATTGAAAACCTCAGGTTAAAAAAGAAATATATATATATAGATCTTTGGCATTCTTTCCTCCTAAAGTGCTTCTTGCTTCAAAATCTTTACCTGTCCTGCAGTTAAAAACCTGTTTACCAAGTTCACATGATCTCAGAAGATACTAAAAAGACAGCTGAGGTAATTAACTCACACCCAAGTGCAAAGGACAATCTCAAAACTCTCTAGGGTTATTCATTGCTTTTAATTTTTAACATTCTTTCTTTTTTTTAAGCCAGAATTAATGAAAAATTTCAAGCAGTGCAAGAACAGCACTAGGACAGGGGCTCTTCTTGTTGAGATATTAGCGTTGATTTTGAATCTAGTTTAGGTTGTCATGTGCAAATTCATACTTAGTAAGAGAGACTTGCAATAAAAACTGGTGGTTTGCTGAGTGACACAGGCTAAGTGTTTGAGGGGGAGATTGGGAAGTTCAAAGGAATAGGGATAACACCTATGACCAGCTGCATCTGGTTCTTTAAAAACTGGGGGTAATACCTATAACACAGGTAGATTAAAGATTAAATTACGTGCTGTATGTAAAGTCCCCAGCACATACTGATGGAATCTAAGTCATTTCTCAATATATAATACATAACAGGCACCTGTCTTCCCTTTATCACCCATGACGTTTGTGTGGACTGGCCGCAATCTTAGAAGGCAAGTTGTGATATAAAAAACACTGGACTGAAAATAGCCAGGCATTGTGGCGGGTCTCAGCTACTTGGGAGGCTGAGGCAAGAGAATCACCTAAGCCCAGGAGTTGGAGGTTGCTGTGAGCTGTGACACCAGGGCATTCTACTGAGGGCAATAAAGTGAGATTCTGTCTCTAAAAACAAACAAGCAAACAAAAAAAAACAACACTGGATTGAAACTTCCTTAGTATACTTCTGCTGCTGATGCATCCTAGCACTCAAGGCTGCCATTTCCCCACGCAAATGGTTATCATAGTCTTAAACATTCTTGCTCATCTTACCTTTGCGTTTGCTCTCATTCTTCTTTCCTGATATACCCTATACTTCTTTTAAATTTTACCTATTTTTTTTTTTTTAAGATGGGATCGCACTCTGTTGCTGGGCTGAAGTATACTTGTATAGTCATTGTTTACTGCAGCCTTGGACTGGTGGGCTCAAGCAGTCCTCCCACCCGCCTACTGAGTAGCTGGGATTATGGTCACAAGCCACCCTGCCCAGCCCATATTTGATATTGCAGGCTACCACGTTAAAATACTAGAGTAGATTGAATTAAAAAAATACAATTAGTGATCAGGTCCTGTCTTTAGTTAAGCTACCATATCTACTTCATCAATTTTATAACAACAATCCCTTATTTTATGGAAGTGAATTGTTTAGACACCACTTATTACATAATAGCAGGATATCTTTACGTTGATACTATCTTTTAAGAAACCTTCCCACCACTTTCACTGGTTGCTTTGTGCTAATTTATGCACTTGTCTGAGTTTAATGGAGGAGTGAAGTTTAAAATTAGGATACTGATATTTTTATGACACTTTGAAACAAGTTGTGCTGCTTTATGGTCATATGACTCTTTATGGAAATGAGTCATCTCTGAGAGATTCTTGTAATCGGGGACATGGCTTATATGTTAGTTTCACTTTGGTGTTAGTAAACCTTGCACAAATCAGCCTCAGAACTAGTAATAAATAAAAATAAAAAAAGACTTTTTACCTCCTTAATAGGAAGGAAAAAAAACCTCAAGCTATGTAAGTTTCTATTACTCATTTGTAAAAGCTAGAAATATTATTTATTTCCTTCAGCATTTGTATTGGCATAGATTTATTTATACTGTGTAGTGAAGTCTTGATTAGTCAGAAAATATATTGTGATCTTTGACTTCTGGGATATTTTAATATTTTCTCAATAACTTTCTCTTAGATTTCACCGAACAGCAGAAAGAATTTCAAGCTACTGCCCGTAAATTTGCCAGAGAGGAAATAATACCAGTTGCTGCAGAATATGATAAAACTGGTGAAGTAGGTATATATATTTTAGAGAGAAAAGACTTTTACTCCTTTTCTTAAAGATTATATAATCAAACTATTTCGATTTTAAATATAACAGTTTGTTTTTTCTCTTTAGTACCCTGTCCCCCTAATTAAAAGAGCTTGGGAACTCGGTTTAATGAATACACACATTCCAGAGAGTTGTGGTAAGCTTTCTTCACCTCTTTAGTCCTAGAAGGCATATGAACAAGAAAAATTGTGAAACTCCACTTGGTCATTTTTTCAAATATTCGTTTTCATTAAATGGCTTTCTTCTTTATGTCCCTGTTCCGGCCATAGTATTTTCCTGTTTCTAGAAGCCTTATATTCTACACTTAGAGCTAGAAATAAATTTCCTTCAGCATTTGTACTGACATAGATTTGTTTGGATAATATAGTGAAAATTTATTTTTCCTTCTAACTGGGCCCAACCTTAACTTGATCTTAAACTTTGGTAAAGCCTCTCTCTAGAGTTGTTCAATTTACTGCATTTTAATCCTACCTTCTATTATATATTTTATTGAGACTTTTTGTGAAATGTCACTCTTTTCCTCAGACCCAGTTTTAACAAAGTTGAATCCAGTTTTTACAAAATCAAGTTGAAACAGGAACATAGGCCCAAATAACAAATAGTAAATGAACTTATGAAAGCCTATTTTGATAAGAATAATTTGTTGTTGGGCCAGTCACAACACTTACACATGTTATCTTTGTAAATTTGCTTTTAAAACAAATTGAGTCATATCACAAATAATTAAGATAGTTTACCTTTATTTCTATCAAAATGCACTTATATCCACATATTATAATGTGCTCTTAAAACATTTTAATACTGTAGGAGGTCTCGGACTTGGAACTTTTGATGCTTGTTTAATAACTGAAGAATTGGCTTATGGATGTACTGGGGTTCAGACTGCTATTGAAGCAAATTCTTTGGGAGTAAGTAACTTAGACAATTAATTGCCTAACCTAGCTGTTTCTGAGACAGCTACTATGAAGTTGGGTTAGTTGGTGAAACCATTTTCTTTTAAAAGGAACACAAGATTTGACAGTGAAGCTTGGAGTTCTGATTCCAATGCTTGGTCACTGTGGCCCTGTTACCTCCAGTACTTAGAATTCTAACTGTCCTTGTATGGGTACACTTTGGCTTCACCTTTAGTGGCAATTCTTAGATGAGGGCAAGGCCTAAATCCAACATTCAGGACCAGCTGTCACTAGCACTGCTGAAATTCAGTGAGCACTTCTTAGGAGGCCTGATCATATATACTGTGTCATGCAGCCTAAATTTAATTCTTTATTTGTGCATTTTACTGTGGTAGCTTTTCACATATTAACATGTCTTACATATAACTTAATTTTATGAAAATACTTAGATTACCAGATATCTGTGGTATTTCCTCATGTTTTTAACTCTCTGACTTAAAAGCAGGCAAAGCAAAGGCCGGCTCTTTGTACTTACCCCTTGGGTAAAAAAATTGTTCTTTTATTTTGAATTATCTCTGAATTACGTTTCTAATAAAAATGACTTTTTTAATGTTAATTTTCTTTGATAGCAAATGCCTATTATTATTGCTGGAAATGATCAGCAAAAAAAGAAGTATTTGGGGAGATTGACTGAAGAGCCGTTGATGTGTGTGAGTATGTGTGGCTGCTGCTTCATTTCATGTTTGAGGCGGGAACAAAGGAGCTATTTCTCCTTTTCAGTCTCTGTAAATATTGGGCTTTATGTCATCGAGACAAGAATTTACAACATAGTTAGGTGTGGTGTTTCTGGAATGCCAAGAAATTGTCTTTATAATCAAATTCATTTCTAGGAAAGAGATCTGTTTATGTTGTTTCTTGGGTGCCAGAAGTGTCATAAAAATCCCCTTACTTGTAATCCGAGTGAGAGAGATGTACTTAATGGAGCATTCTACAGAACTGATTGTATCAGAAGTTGGGATTGAATGTAGGTGACAGTATGTGTTTGAGCTAGTAGTGTTTTGGACTAGTAAAAAGTTAATGTGAACCTGTGACTGAAAAGATCGCAGCTTAAGTTATTGAATGACTGAATCACGTGGGGAGAATGGTTTTGTAAAATGGCCTACCTGTAGTCTTCTCTTGCTGTCAGTGGGTTTTGATCTGCAACTGGTTGAATCCACAGATGGGAAACGTGGGGATGCACAGGGCTAACTATACAGTGATAGAAATAGGGCTGACATGCGGCTCATGCTTGTAATCTTAGCATTCTGGGAGGCCAAGGCAGAAAAGTGGCTTGAGCTCAGGAGTTCCAGACCAACCTGAGTAAGAGTGAGACGCCCTCTCTACTAAAAATAGAAAAAACTAACCAGGCATTGTGGCAGGAACCTGTAGTCCCAGCTACTTGGGAGGGTGAGGCAAGAGAATTCACTTAAGCTCAGGAATTTGAGGTTGTTGTGAGTTGTGATGATGCCACAGCACTCTGCCCAGGCTGACAGAGTGAGATTCTGTCTTAAAGGAAAAAAAATAATCCCTTTTGCTTTGTGAGACCTTATTGTAAGTAAGCCTCATTTACTCTGGTTTTTCACGTGCCTTGTGTATGACTTTCATACATAAGCGTGTAACTACAATATAGTTACTCATCTCCACTCTTACGTGGTGAAAATCTTTAGGATATAAATGCCTTTTCATCTTTGGTTTCCTAAAATGCTGATTTATACTGTGGTATATAATAGATAGTCCATAAATGTTTGCATGAACAAGGACATGTGAAATTGAATTTAGTGAATTTATTTGAAGATATCTAACTTCAAAAATCAATATTTATTTTTAATTATTATAGAGATGGGGGTCTTTTTATGGTGCTCAGGCTGGCCTTGAACTTCTTGCCTCAAGCAATCTCTCACCTTGGCCTCACAAAGCACTGGGATTACAAATGAGAGCCACTAAGCTCGGCTGATGTTATCTAACATTTAAGTTTTTGATATAGTTTATTGGTATACCATGCCTAATTTTAATTCATATATTAAATGTTTTACATTTGAGTAGTCTGTTTGGTTTTCTAAAAATATTGTAATTTTAGGTACTTTTAAATGTTTAATATCTACCTTAAAAAAAAAATCTTTTTTCCTAGCATTGAAAATTTAATAACACTTAAATTTCATTAAGATTAAATTTTCTTTCTTTTGTTTCTATTTGTTCAAGGCCTACTGTGTAACAGAACCTGGAGCAGGCTCTGATGTAGCTGGTTTGAAGACCAAAGCAGAAAAGAAGGGAGATGAGTATATTATTAATGGTCAGAAGATGTGGATAACCAACGGAGGAAAAGCTAATTGGTATGTTGTTTAAAACATCTCTGTATATTCCTTCTTTCTTTAGCAGAATCGTCCCTTATGTCTTCCTTTTATTTTTAAACCATTGCAGTTGGCTTGGTGCCTGTGGCTCAAGTGGCTAAGGCACCAGCCACATACACCTAAGGTGGTGGGTTCGAATCCAGCCTGGGCCCGCCAAACAACAATGATGGCTGCAACCAAAAAATAGCTGAGCATTGTGCTGGGCACTTGTGGTCCCAGCTATTTGGGAGGCGGAGGCAGGAGACTTGCTTGAGCCCAGGAGTTGGAGGTTGCTGTGAGCTATGAAGCCACAGCACTCTACCCAGGGGGACAGCTTGAGGCTCTGTCCCCAAAAAAACCAAAACAAAACATTGCAATTAAGGTGTAGACAAGGAGAACTGGGGAAGGTCCATAAGGGATTATTTCAGTAGTTTTCAGAAATTCATTGTAAGCCCCTGAACTATTTCTTCAAATTAATTCTTAGGAACTTAATTTGTAAAATAAAATAAAATACCTGTTGTGGCTGAATCTGATTAGGAAGGTTCTTCCTCCATCTACTTGGCTTATCATCTCCATTCCGTATCACCTATTCTACACCTTCTTGAACTCTAAAACCTGAGGGAAAAGGCAAAATCATTGATATAGGACATTTCTTGATTCTCACAAATAAACAGAGGCACTCGTAAAACTCAGATTATCCATTAGAAAAGACAGAATTTGACTTTAATAAGATCTAAAAGGTCCAAATACATGGTTCAGAAATAATACAAAGTTCAACAAAGGATCAAAAACATATAATTTATTTTATTACCGCTGATCTGTACACTTAAAAATGGTAAAAAATATTCACCTTGGTTATTTATGAAAAAATAGAAAAAGACAGTAAAGATGGTTAATTATATATATATTTCAGCTTGATAAAAAAATTTAAAAGAGGAAAACATGAAGAGTTTAATAACTTTAAGGTCAATAGGCACCAATACCATGAGCCTTTAAATAGCTAATGTGACTTTAAGCTGAAGGAATAGAAGTAGCATTGTGGTGACATTTCTGGGCAACACATTTTAAGGTATGTATTGAAAAATGTGGAATAAATCCAGAGGTGTCATATTTGCCGCAGAGAAGGGGCCTGCAAAATAATGCTGTGAAAAGCAAAGAAATGAGGTTTGGTTATTTTGGAAGAATCCTAAAATTTCAGAAATAATACTACACATAAAATAGCAGGCTTTTATGTTTACTTCAGGAAGCCAGTTTAGAATTTCTGGGTAAAAGTTAGAAAAATGGTAGAATTTAGCTCAGTACAAGGACAGGTTTTCCAACAATAGTGACAGGTTGTCATGGGAGATAATACGTTTACCATCACTGCAAATCGGTATGTACAGTCTTTCTAGAACTTCTTTTTTTTTTTTTTTGAGACAGAGCCTCAAGCTGTCCCCCTGGATAGAGTGCCATGGCATTACAGCTCACAGCAACCTCCAACTCCTGGGCTCAAGCGAGTCTCCTGCCTCCGCCTCCCAAGTAGCTGGGACCACAGGTGCCCGCCACAACGCCCGGTTATTTTTTGGTTGCAGCCGTCATTGTTGTTTGGCGGGTCTGGGCTGGGGATTCGAACCCGCCACCTTAGGTGTACGTGGCTGGCGCCTTAGCCGGTTGAGCTATAGGTGCCAAGCCCTTTCTAGAACTTCTTATTGGAATAACCTACTAAATGTCTTGTCTCTCCTCATGTACAGAAGTTATGATTCAGTGTTCTTTGTGTACTCAGGAGTACAGTTTTCTAGCAAGTAAAGCACCATTTTTGGTAAAGAGCCAACCAAGAAGTCATTTATTTTAAACGTATCTATAAATCCTATGAGTGTCCTAAATATGTTCAGCATTGTAGAGCATTGTATCACTATTTGTAAGTGACTCATCATCATATCAGCAAGTAATAAAAAAGTGAAGAAACTATTAACATTTAACCAGTTGAGAGAAATCTTACAATGTAATTAAAAGTTTTCATAATTTTAAGAACGTCTTATATCTCTTCATGGAATAAGGCAAATCAAATAATACATGAAACTAGAAAATAATTTTACTATTTTATTACTGTTACCATTAAAAACCCCAGAGTGAAGGCTCATGTGTTGGTTTTAAGCACAGAAAATACATTTGTTATTTAAGGAAGAATATACTTTTGTAAAAAAATCTCTTGTAATAGGGTCTACAGAATATGAGTTAGACACGTTTGCATGTTTTGCCATTTTTTCCCTTATGTTTCCTTTAAAACCTTTCTGAGAAAAATCCTTCTGAAGAGACAACCAAATAGTTACAATAATGCAGCTATAACAAAAACACGGACTCTGCTGCCCTGAGAGAACTGGAGTCAAAACTCAGGGATCTCTGTCCTATATTATTCCTTTTTACAAGCAGCTGTATTTCCTTTTAAAAATAGCTTGTCCCTTAAAGAATAAAATTAGTTTGGGGGAAGAAAAAGTACCAGTTCGAACATACATACTGACTTGTTATATTACATTATCTTTATATAAGAAATCTTTATGCTATGTGTAGTTCCCCTCTTAACCTTGGGGGTTATATTACAAGACCCCCAGTGGATGCCTGAATCCTCAGATAGTGCCCAATTTTTTATATACTGTGTTTCTTCTTATAGTAAAAATCAGACCCAGCAATAACTAATAATAAAATAGAACTACGATAAAACATACTGTAATAAAATTTATGTAAATGTGTGGTCTTTATTAAAATAACTTATCCTGTACTGTGGGTAACTGAACAAAGTGGAATCCCAGAGCGGGGAGGGAACCACTGCGTTAGTTAAGAAGCAGACCTGGATTATAGAAATACTTACCAGCTCTGTGACGTATTAGGTACATGACTTGGGCAAGTTTGATTCTTCATTTACTCAGTAGTAAAATGGGGGTAATGATAATTGGGATTGTTGGGAAAGTCAACTGAGATAGCAATCACCATGTGTTTTTTTGCCCCTATCATTATCATCATTAGGTATTTTTTACTGGCACGTTCTGATCCAGATCCCAAGGCTCCTGCTGGCAAAGCCTTTACTGGATTTATTGTGGAAGCAGATACCCCAGGAATACAGATTGGAAGAAAGGTAAAGTGTGTATCAGATTAAGGCATCAAATATTATTTTAAGTTTCAAAATCACTTCAATGAAAACTCTTTTGTATTAAGTTGGCATGAAAACAACTGTAATTTGATGATATAGGATCAAGTAGTCTATTTGTTGCTGAAGATTTTAAGTTGAGAATAGTCATCTCAAGTCATTCTTAAAGAGTACCCATTTGGAAAATGGCAGCAACAGTTATTAGAAATGTACATATAAAAAGGTTGACGTTTTCTGTATGTAAATTCTACCTCAATAAACCTAATTTTAAGAAAGAGTTGGAAGAAGTAAAAAACAATTTTTATTCCAATTACTAGCTCTGTTAATTAAGCTGAGATTAATTTGCTAAATGTGTTACCTGACACTTTTGACAGAAAAAGATAGCTTTTGAATTTGACCCAGAAAGAAACCAATATCCCTTTATTTTATTTTTATTTTTTTAAAGAGACAAGGTCTTACTCTGCCATCCAGGCTAGAGTGCAGTGGTCATCGTAGCTCACCGCAGACTTGAACTCCTGGGCTTAATATCCTCAGCCTCTTAAAGTGCTGGGATATTAAAGGCATAAACCACCATGCCAGGTCTCTTTTGTCTTTATAATTTAGTAAACTTTGGTATCATAGACTACCACTTAGATAAAACAAAAAAACACTGTTAACCTGTTTTCCAGGCTGAGCGCGGTGGCTCACGCCTGTAATCCTAGCACTCTGGGAGGTAGAGGTGAGTGGATAGCTTGAGCTAATGAGTTCAAGACCAGCCTTTGCAAAAAAAAAAAAAAAGAAAGAAAGAAAAAGCAAGATCCCATCTCTACTAAAAATAGAAAAACAAAGGCAAGAGGATCACTTGAGCTCAAGAGTTGGAGGTTGTGGTGAGCTGTGGTCCAGGGCAACAGCTTGAGACTCTGTCTCAAAACAAACAAACAAAACAACCTGTTTCCCAGACTCTCTCTAAAGTACTTTCTTGACAGTTTGCTTTGATGGTATGTACTTGTAGAGACCTTTAGACTAGTGTTAGTTTCAAAATTTGTGAAACATGGGGAGCTGGCAAACTGATTTTATAAAGATCCAGATTGTAAAAATTTTAGGCTTTGGGGGTCACATGATCTCTGTCACAAGAAAGTAGCCCCAGATGATGTGTGAACAAATCCATGTGACTGGATTTCAGTAACGCTACATTTACAAAACAGGAATTGTAGGCCGTAGTTTGTTTGTTGGCAGCCTGTTTTAGATAATTGCAGAAAGTCATAAAACAACAGCAAAAGTTGATGCTACTGCAAAATATGTTCCTTAAAATATACTAATTTTTTGTTAGGAATTAAACATGGGCCAGCGATGTTCAGACACTAGAGGAATTGTCTTTGAAGATGTGAGAGTGCCTAAGGAAAATGTTTTAATTGGTGAAGGAGCTGGTTTCAAAATTGCAATGGGAGCTTTTGATAAAACCAGACCTCCAGTAAGTATTATGAGTTCATAATCTGTATCAACCGATCACAGTAAATAAGTAGTTTTATTTTAACATTGTATGCTTGGTGTGCTTTGCTTTTTAAATCTAAAATTGCCATGCCTGTTTTATTAAGGGTGGAGGAGAAATACTGTTACTTTTTTAAAAAAATTCTTCAACTTTCTTGCATTATAGAAATTATTTTACCAAGTACAGAGTTACTGTAGTCGCTGCTAAATTTACAGAGAGGCAGTCCACACCTAATTTGATCATTCCTGTTAACTTGTACTCACTTCCTGTTCCTTCACTCGTTATAACGAGTATTGGGTTTCCTTGTTAAACAGAGGGAAAGACTTTTCTCTATGCTATGATTCTATGCCTAACAAATGCCTCCCCCATTACCTTTAATTCATAAATAATGTAAATTTATGTGCCTGTCTCCCCAGTCTCTATATTTGTTGATATAGATCACCTTCTGTGTATAATCCTTAATTGAGAATCATAGGCAGATAGCCATACGCCGTGTGTTTTAAAGACAACATGAACTTTTGCTTTATAAAATGTTAAACTCCTAGGTAGCAGCTGGCGCTGTTGGATTAGCACAAAGAGCTTTGGATGAAGCTACCAACTATGCCCTGGAAAGGAAAACTTTTGGAAAGCCAATTATAGAGGTAATTTCAATACTGTGCTTGCTTTGTTACAATACACAGATAATTATTTTCATCTGAATATTTAGAAATTATTTTTAATGTAACAAGATGGATTTCAAGAATTGATTTTTCTTTAAATCATGCCACTATTGGTCACTGTGCATAACACTGTGCTATCTATTCTAAATATATTTTCCAATTCTCTCAGTTACTCTTTTTGGGCTATTATCATCTCTGTTAAATCTCAGGAAACCAAGGTTCAGAGACATTAAGTAATCTGTCCAAGACCACACAGTTTATAGGTCACAGATCCAGGGTTCTATTTAATGCTCCTAACCCATGTTACTTCCTTCTGCATCTTTATTTATTTGGAGACAAGTTCTCTCTGTTGCCCTGGGGTAGAGTACAGTGGTGTCATCATTGCTCCTGCTAACCTCAAACACCTGGGCATAAGTGATCCTTCTGCCTCAGCCTCCTGAGTAGCTGGGACCATGGGTGCATGTCACCATGTCCACTACTTTTTCTACTTTTTGTTGAGGTCAGGCCCTGCTAGTTACTCAGGCTGGTCTGAAATTCCTGGGCTTATGCATTTCTCCCACCTTGGCCTCCCAAAATGTTAGGATTATGGGCCTAAGCCACCATGCCCAGCCTTTCCCATGTCTTCTTATCAAATAATTTTAATATTAATATTCATGTCTTCATGAATTTGGGGGGAAATTCGTATCTCTTCCGATGTTGATGCTCCCTCATTATCTCTTCTTTCCCCTCTAACTTACTTGGGGTGGTACAGTCAACCTTTTATTTCCATCCCCATGTATCCCTGGTTCTCAAACTATCTGTGGTGAAAAACCAGTCTGTTTTTAAATTTCCAATGAATTGTAGACTGTTAATTTTATAAAATACCAGAAGGTCATAACAGTATGAAATCACTCTGAAAGCTTCTGAATGCTTACTCTTGTCTTCTGTACAGTGGGCCGGTGATAGATTGTAGCCTGGCACTGTGGACAGACCAGTCATGGATTAGCACTGCTCCTGTGTCCCTTAACCACAATCACGCAAGTTCTCTCTCTCTGCTTTACTCTAGACAGTTTTTTCTGACCTGCTTTCCAGTTGTCTGATCAGTATACAGTCTCTTTTTCATTTTGCCTCTTAAAGTCATGTAAAAATTACTCATTTACAGTAAATTTAAGATTTTCTTCTGTTATCTTAAGTTCAAAGGATGCTAATCTTTGTTCATCTGCTAATTCTGCTGTGACCGATTATATCCTCTTTTAATTTCTGCATGTGAGCTTACCTGCTGGAGGTATTGTATTTCTCAGTGTATTGTGGAGCATCCTAGAGAGTGGCCTTTGTACTTTTCTACATTTTTGTTGGTGGGTTTTGGTGAAAACCCTATAGATTTCACCATTCCAAGAGCTGTTATTTATGTTATTTTCTCTGCTAGGGGAATCTTGTACATATACATGGACTCTACACTTTTAAGGGATTCCTTTTCTTTCTTTCTTTCTTTCTTAACCTTGTGGACAGAGTCCTGAGCAAGAGATAAGCTTCTTTGGGGCCTTCCTGATGAGTAGAGACTTTCTAAAAAATTACTTTATTTTTTTTTTTAGCCAGTCTAGCTTTCTTTTGACAGAGACTTTTAATTCCCTCTTTGGAAAGAGAAGGCCTTAAATACAGGGAGCCTCAGTGTCAGCTCTGTATCACCTTTGTGCTTAGGAGGAGGATCCAAATCTCCTCCTCTTGAGTGCATTAGTTTTTTGGGTTTTTTTTTTTTTGACAGTGTCTCACTCTGTTGGCCAGGCCTAGTCCAGAGACCTGATCTCAGTGCAACCTCATACTCCTCAAATGCCTATGCTCAACCAGTCCTCCTGTCTCAGCCTGCCAAGTAGCTGGGACTACAGGCAACCACCACCACATCTGGATAATTTTTTTATTTTTTATAGAGACTGGGGTCTCACTATGTTTTCCAGGCTGGTTTTGAATTCCTGAGCTCAGTGATCCTCCTGCTTTGCCTCCCACAAAGCTAGGAAACTTTTTTCTTTTTTTAAATCAAATATTTCCTTGTTAGCTCATTCATGTGGCAAGAACTAAACATGTACGTTTTACTAAACGTTAACTTAGCTTATTCTAAACAGATAATGACTAATAGACTATATCATGAAGATCTACTGCCACCTCCAGGCCCTCCTTTCTGAGGATCTGATAACTCTTTATTTTGTTTGTTGTTCAACTTAATATGGAATCTTCTTTTAAAGTTCCCTTTCTTATGGGTTCTGAAGTTTTTTTTCTTATTCAGTATATAAAAGTCTTACCTTTGCTTATTACATAAAGTTTTTTATTATTTGATTTCCACTGCAGATTTGTTTTTCTCTTACTTGCTGACGGCCTGCATTTTTAATTAACAGGGATAGTGATGTGGTTCCAGGTAACTCCCAGCCCCATCTCTGTGCTCTTTGCAGCTTCAGCCTGCCAGAATCTGTGTGCTCCGTATACAGCAGTATGTACTAGAAGGCCACTTTATACTTGGAATCCACACTTAATTATTTAGCCATTTTGTATCTGATATTAGGAAATACACAAGAGAATATCACCACATATTCTTTTGTTTTCATATGTAAATTTGGAGACAAGAAATGTCAACTGTGTGAGTCTTATGTGTGGGTGAGTGTGGTATGAACGTGGGGAGTCAAGATGGTAAGTTCACAGTGTGTCTTCATTTATGATAAAGCTCAGTTTAGCCCCATCTACATTGTTTTTCTGTCCATATCATTCCAGACTTTATGACAGTGTATGTAGTCTGCTTTATTTAAAGTTAAAATAGTAAGTTAACCCATTAGGACTTAATTACTTTCTAAAAGGGAACTGCTGCAGCACACATGGCTTTTTTTGTCATTTCAGCTTAACCAGATTTCACATAATTCTTAGTTATTACTCACTTTGTTTTTACCATTTCTCTCTTACTATTACTTTCTAAGATGATTTATGTATAGCTTAGATCCATTATCTCCAGATAGAAATAATAAAGAAGTTTTTAAAATTTTTTATTTTTTTAAGGGACCACAAAGAATGGTACTCTAACCCGAGCTGGCTTGTTCACCACCGTATGTGTTATTGTTATTGCCTCTCTAAGTGATAGCTGTTTCTGCTGCTCCTCCTCTTCTTGTTTGACCTGATGCAGCTAAAGAAAGCTGATCAAAACAGAAGGTGCTGTAGTAGAGCCTCCATAGTTGGCCACCTCCCTGCACTGCGCACCTCTTCAGTTGACCTAGTTTTCATAGACCAGAGATGGACCACATGTATGCACAGGATCAGAGGCCTAGTTCCTTATGTTGACACCTCTATGTTGAACACTGTGTTACCGTCCCTTCTATGGTCAACTTAACAGTTCTACTACATTTTATTTTACTGATGATTAAAATCGGAAACCTTCATAACAGATTACTGGATGGTAAAATCCCTTAATGGCAATAACTGCCTACTTCTTTGTCTAGTCACATCCCTCTGGATGAAGTTGAAATGGGCTAGGATGGTATGAAAGAATCCAGTAAGAATAACTCCCATTTGTGTTGATTATTATTGCTAATTAGCAATAACTTTTTCCCATGATGATAATTTCTTGATAGGAAAGTGGGTAGGGGGGCAACATGATGTGACTTGTAATTGAAATATTAGAGACTTAGTAAGAAAAATATTGACATCTTTTCCTTTCTTTGTTTTTCTAGTTTGCGTCTCCTCTATGAGAGCGAGTCAGTGGCAGAGCAGTTAGGGTGCATGGAACAGTAATTCACTCTGCCATTCCGAGAAATCAAACAAGGAGCTGCCAGTGTTCTCTTTGAGAAACAGTGTGGCTTAGTGGACAGATCTTGTGCTGAAAGTCAGGACTGAATTTGAATCTTACTTTGATAAAATAAGCAAAGTTATTGCTTATTTTAACTTGAGCAATTCAGTTAACTTCTCTGAGCCTCAGTTTCCTCATCTGTAAACTGGGAACTATGAAAGATTACTCCCCATGTGATCTCTCATGATTCTGTGGCTTTAATGACAAAATAAAGGATGATGACTGTAAGTTTTATCTCCGGCCCTGACCTCTTCTCTGAGCATCCCTCTTGGATTGTCATACGCTTCCTCAACATCTCCACTCAGAGTCCAATAGGAATCTTAAATTCTTATTTCCTGTTCTTTCCCTCTTAACTATTTTATGCTCAGAATTCTTCCAATATCATCTAATCATACTTACATTAAAATCCAAACTCTTGACAGTGGTATTTTTGCTGTTCTCTTTACCTTTTTAGACCTTTAGTCTTGCTCCAGATATCCTTAACGATAGCTCTTTCAACATAATTCAGATTTCAGTGTGAAATTTTAAAAAGTATATTAAAAGAATTATTGGCTTAGAATAATGGACACAATTTTCAGGCAGGTAGAAATAAGGATGTCATTCTCCTTGTTCATATGGGGGTTCCAGAAGTCTCATATCTTTAGATGTTCTAAGACTCCCAGTGGATGCCTAAAACCATGGACAATACAATACCAAACCCTATAACATACTGGATGCTTTTTCTTATACGTACATACCTAGAATAAAATTTAATTTATAAGTTAGGTATAGTAAGAGGTTAACAATAACAAATTAGACCAATTATAACAATATGCCAGCATCCCTACTCTTGTGTTTAGCCACTTAGTAACATAAGGGTTACTTGAACACAAACACTGATACACAATAACAATTGATGAGATAACCAAGATGGCTATGAAGTAAGATGGGTGGGTGGCATATAGGGTGTGCATCTGCTGGACAAAGGGAAAATACAGTGAACATTTTGCTATTTTTGTTCCATGAGCATATTTTTTGAAAGTTGCAGCCATAATACCTATTTGGAAATTTCACAAAACAACATGTAGTGAACACATCCCTATCCTGTAGTGTTATCTTGGCCATATAATTCATAGAGCACTTACTATCTCCCTTATTGAAAGTATTTGTTGGGCAGCGCCTGTGGCTCAAAGGGTAGGGCGCCGGCCCCATATGCCAGAGGTGGTGTTCAAGCCCAGCTCCAGCCAAAAACTGCAAAAAAAAGAAAGTATTTGTCTTATGTCTCCTGTTTGATGATGAGCGTCTGGGATAAGAAGCATCTTTTATTCTTTCCTCTGTCAGTATTTGATGCATTGCCTCATTATTTTTTTCTATCTCTTATCAATTTTCTTTAAAAAGTCCCAGCAGACACTTAGAAGAACACATAAATTTTTGTTGTAATTGTGCCCAGAATGCATAAACTCATTCTAGTCATGAGGAAGAAATATCAAACTGAAATTGAGGGAATTTTTATATAAAATTAGTTAATGTTCTTCAAAAGTGTCAAGTCATGGAAGACAAGGATTGAGGAATTGTATTAGCCTGGGCAAGACTAAGAAGAAATGCCTAAATTCAGTGTGTGATCCTGGACCAGAGAAAGAACATTAGTGGAAAACTTAGCTCAATTTGAGTAAGGTCTGTAACTCAGTTGATAATATTGTACCATATTAATGACCTGTCCTTGATTACTGCAGTATAGTTTTGTAATATGTTAGCATTATAGGAAGCTAGGTGTAACTTTGTTGTAAGTTTGAAATTAGTTAATAAAAAATTTAATAAAACAGCTAGGAGAAACCCTTTTAAGTTTTCTCAACAGATAGCCTTAAATTTTTTTCTTTTTAATTGTAGCACCAAGGGATATCATTTCTGCTGGCTGAAATGGCAATGAAAGTTGAACTAGCTAGATTGAGTTACCAGAGAGCAGCCTGGGAGGTTGATTCTGGTCGCCGAAATACCTATTATGCTTCCATTGCAAAAGCATTTGCCGGAGATATTGCAAATCAGGTGGCTACTGATGCTGTGCAGATTTTCGGAGGCAACGGATTCAATACAGAATATCCTGTAGAGAAACTAATGAGGGATGCCAAGATCTATCAGGTAAGGTTAAAAATTACTTTTGTGATTTGTGAGGGCATAGAATATTCATGAACAACAGAGTGGATGTCTAATTATTTAGAGATTTTATACATACATAAATGGCTATTATCCAGTTTTAGGAACTAAATAATATGAAGACTATTTTGGGGTAAGCATAGTTCTTAGCTAGGCTAAAAACATTAATGGTATGTACAGACAGATATAGTTTGTTTGGATCAGTCTGGTTTGAGTCTTAACATCCTATGTAATTGTAACCCACACTTTTCTCTCCAAAAAAGTATCTAAATAATTTTAGATACAATATTTTAAATATCTTTAATTATTTAAGATTAATTAAATTATTTTGAATTTTGCTTGACAACTCCAATTGAAACCATTACTTGGAGTCAAAAATAAGCACATTGAAGACAATGATATAGATAACTTCTAAACTGGTGGTTACAGAAACTTAGGAGTAATTAGTAGATAAGATATAAATATGTGTGTTCTCCATGAGTGCCTTAAATATAACCTATACTTCTCATTATCTCTTCCTTTGCTCCTCCCACCCCCGGCAAATTATTTGGCAAAACCAGTCATCTGCAGGCTTGTGGTAGAATCAGAATGCGAGCGTGGCAAGGAATGTTAGAAATAGGACAACCCCTCTATTTGAGACGTGAAAAAACTGAGGATCAGAATTTATGTGTTTTTCAACGTCACGAGTTTACATGATGGTATTCTTCCTCTCCTAGAGCCAGTGATTTCAGTTATTACTATTACTATCGGTCATTTAACTTCTGTCGGCCATCTGAGCAGATAAACTAACAAATGGCTAGTTTTGGAAGGTTAGAATGGAAATGAGGGATGACTTTTGAATTCTTTCCGGGTTTTTTTTTTTTTTTTTTTTTTTTTTTTTTTGAGACAGAGCCTCAAGCTGTCCCCCTGGGTAGAGTGCTGTGGCATTACAGCTCACAGCAACCTCCAACTCCTGGGCTCAAGCGAGTCTCCTGCCTCCGCCTCCTAAGTAGCTGGGACCACAGGTGCCCGCCACAACGCCTGGCTATTTTTTGGTTGCAGCCGTCATTGTTGTTTGGCGGGTCCAGGCTGGGGATTCAAACCCACCACCTTAGGTGTACGTCGCTGGCGCCTTAGCCGGTTGAGCTATAGGCGCCGAGCCCAGAGTTTCTTTCTTTAGCAACTCTGCTCTTAGGGAGCAGGAAGAAAAATTAGGTTCAAGAGCAATAATAGGAAATGACTGAAGGTGACAACTAGCTAAGAATAGTTAAGAAAAACTGGATAGGTATTTGGGCAGTATTAACCTTTATTTTTCTCACACTTTCTGAAATGTAAATATCCTTTTCTTTGATGTTTTGAAACTCTTCCCCCAAATTTTGGTAAATGACTTTTTATACTAATTTAATTTTTAGAAAATTATGTAATTTCATAGTTTTACAAGAGATTAGGTTTTGGAATAGCTGTAGTCTACAGACCCTCTACATGGCTTAATTCAGTTTAGTATTACACAAAGTAGTGAATAAGTCAAGGTATTTACAGACTGAAGATACTTAACCAACATTTACATTTTTCTTGCAGATTTATGAAGGTACTGCACAAATTCAAAGGCTTATTATAGCCCGAGAACACATTGGCAAGTATAAAAACTAAAGAGATTGCTGTAAAAACATGATTCATCATTGATAACTAGAACATGATCTGCTTATTTAAGCTCCAGACAAAAGAAAGGGCTTTAAATTTCTCCTGTGAAAATAAAAATGAGTACTCTAATACTATATCTAAGCATCTGATTCCAAAAGTAGTTGGTACTTTATTTAACTCTATGATTTCCCTTTTCTAAAACAGATTTGGTTTTATTAAAATTATATGTTGGCCTTAGTACCAGATTAATATAATTAATTTGTATTAATTAACAAAGAAAAATACACTTGTTGTTATGATGTGTTAAAGTGGCAGAAATTCCTTGGAATTCCACTGTTTTACCAGTGACAGAAAAGTGGGCTTATAAAGTATTCAGAATGTTCCAAATTTACATTGAGAAATGGAGACGTGGACACCGTTGAACAACTTACCAGTGACCATGTAGCCTTAACAGTATTATTTTCAGTGCTCATTCTACTGCCACTTGGAAAGCGTTTGCTTTCAGTTTCGCAAAGGGAGGAACAGTCAAAATTTTCATATTCATATTCACCCCCTTATTGCATACTTCAGGAAGCTTCTTGAAATTCTTGTGTAGTTTTGAGCCCACATTTCACTTGGCTTTATTAAAATAAATCAAAGCTTGCCTTAAATTATTTTTATATGGCTCTGTTGGTCTCTAGGTAGCCTTTGGTCTGTTGTACACAATTTCATGTGAATGCATTTTGAAAAGGAACTTAAATAAAATAGTTCAGTGGTTATTACTCTTTTTGTATTCTCCAAGTTTTATTAGTTCACATAATAGTGTGTACTTCATGTATTTATAACCATGATGGAAAAAAGAGAATCATGTTTTGATATTGAATTGCATAAAATTACCTGCCCATGTTAATCAAGTTACATTACTAAAGACCTTGGAAAATGTAAATATAAAATAAGAAGCAAAACTGGTGAGTTTAGTATTTCTTTGTAATTCTAAATATCAAATACTGCTAAAATGTGTTACAGTAAATAGTGTGTTTTCTGCCAGCCACTACTTCTGATTCTCTATTTCTCAGACATCAACTCTGTATCCTCCATTTCAATTCAGCTCTGACACTACCCAGGGTTAGGCTTAATCCCACAAGACTGTCCTCACTTCAGAGGCCACTCTGAAGTCCTGGGTCCCCAAGCTACCCACTCTCTGCCCAACAAGGCTACAAATTCAAGTATCTCATAACCTCATTGTCAGGTTCAATTATTTGCTGAAGTACCTTACAGAACTCAGGAGAAACACTTTATTTACATTTATCTGTTGACTTTAAAGGATAGAACTCAGGAGCAGCCCAGGGGAGACATGCATAGGGCCAGGTGTGGAGGGCGGGCGGTGCAGAGCCTCCTCGGAGTCCTCTTCTAGCACAGTGCCTCCCCAGCACCTGTCTGCGTTCACCAACCTGGAAACTTCCTGAGTCTCAGTTCCATCTCCATCCTCCCTCTCTTTTCCTGAAGTCTGGGTGAAAACTTGAAAAGTTCGCACCTTCATTAGTCTTAAAGAACTGCCATAAAAAATAGGCTACAGACTGAATGGCTCGAACAGAAATTTGGTTTCTCACAATTCTGAAGGATAGAAGTTCAAGATGAAGGTGCCAATAGGGTTGGTTTCTGGAGAGGCCTCTTTTCCCGGCGTGTGCACTGCTGCCTGCTTGCTGCCTCTCTTCCTACGTGTGTGCCTGATAAACAGTTGGCTTGGGGGAGCTTTGTTATCTCTCTTCTTATAATGACACCAGTGCTACAGGAGTCAAGCCTGACCTCTGTGACTTCAACTCCCTAAAGACCCTACCTCTTATGTATAGTCATATTGAGAGGTAAGGGGCTCAACCTAAGAATTACAGGGGGACACAATTCAGCCCATAGCACCACCCTCATCCTCAACCTAGGTTGAATACAGGCTCTGCCATTAGTTACCGCATTACCACAAACTCAAGAGTGACTGAAAAGGCCTTATAATTGACACAAGATACTCCTATCATTCAGTAAACTCCGAGGGTTTTAGACGGTTTGTGTTAGGAGCTTGGAATATGACAAACACATTTCTTATACCACACTAAATCACTGAAATAAAAACCAAATCTATTAAAAGTACAAAATACTTAAACAACTTTTTCTTCATGCTTAATAATGAAATTGTATTTTAATGGCACAGCTAGGGATTGGTAAGGAGAATGAGACATTTCTTAATTAAACTGGGTATTATATAGAAATTACAATTTAAATAGAATATATACATTTTAGGCTCAGTGCCTGTAGCACAGTGGTTATGGCACTGGCCACATGTACTGGGGCTGGTGGTTTCAAACCTGGCCCAGGCCAGCTAAACAATGACAACTGCAACAACAAAAAAAATAGCCAGGTGTTGTGGCAGGCTATATTTTAGCTGTAGTTCTAGTTACTTGGGAGGCTGAGATAAGAAAACTGCTTAAGCCTAAGAGTTTGAGGTTGCTGTGAGCTGTGACACCACATCACTCTCCCAAGGGCGACATAGTGACATTCTGTCTCAACAAAAAAGGAAAGAAAGAAAGAAAGAAAGAAAGAAAAAAAATATATATATATATATAACATTTCAAATATATTCAAACATTTCACGTTTGAATTTGCAGTACATAATCCAAAAATTTACCTCACATTTCTAAATGTAACTATACTCAAAAGCCTTATGAGAATATTAAAGTATCCTTGATAATAAGTATTAAGCAATTATATAACTGTATTAAGCAAGCCTTTTAAGTCACAAAGTCACCAATGAACTTAAGCTACTTTAGGCAAAAAAGCAAACATGTATTTTAAGTATATGGAGGTGCCTCATGGAATCTGAAGGCAGGAGTGGAATCGGTTTCAGGGAGGGACTAGCACCAGAATAGTAGTCAGCTTTTTTTTTTTTTTT